CTTCATAATATTTAAATATGTTAAGAGGGAAAATTAAAGTTGTACCTTCAGTACTCATAGGAAATCCCTTATCCTTGGCACCCAGGAACTGATCTTGTTTTCTGACAGTACCAAAGAAACAGGAGTGGCCAGAGCAAAGCCTCTTGGAGGATTTGGACCTGTGGCCTATTAGCGATTCTCTCTCTCTCTCTCTCTCTCTCTCTCTCTCTCTCTCTCCTGTGTATTTATATGTAAATATATATAACACATGTAAATACGGCCTGCTGAATTTCTTTAGCATTGCTTATATGTGTATAATTTTAAGGTTGATGACTTGTATTGGCTAATAATTGAGGGCAATCCTGGTGAAGACTAATTCTCCCTCTGTCCACAGCTCTTAGTTTCCTGTAGTTCTTTGCCTAAGGGGTGAGGTCCTGTCAGAGTTCCTGCTTCCATATCACCAACAATGGTGTTGGTCTTGTTTAGATTTTATGCAAACTGACATATTGTTGGGTTATCATGGATGAAGCATGTCCTGCTTTTCTGGCTTTTGCAATCTTTCTGCCCCTTCTCCCATGATATTCCCTGAGCTGTACTCTAGGAATTGTGTTGTAAATGTCACCACTGGGGCTTGGCACAACACAAGTGGTCTCTGCATTTTGACTAGTTTTCTGTAATGCTTTCCATCTATTGTAAGGAGGACCTTCTTTGGTGAAGGGAGAGAGCTGCATTAATCTGTGGGTGTGAGTAGTTATAGTGCAGTTAGGAATTATGTTGATTTAGTTAAATGGCAGTAGTAGGCTCTCCTCTAAGATCCATGGCCTCACTAGCCCTGGGTAGTTGGCTAGGTTTCTAGTACCAGGGAAGATTTTCCTCCTGTCCTCAGGCCTTAAGTTCAATTAGATAGTTGTTACTACTGCCAAGATATGAGTGGATAATTCATTTTCTGTAGGCAATTTTACATTTAAAAATGTTGGCAAATAAGTAATTCTGTTTCATTTTAGTGGTAAAATGCAAGGCAATAAAAGTTAACTAGAATTGTTTCCCTAATTTAATTTCAGCAGTGTTAAGTTATACTGTCTCAGTGTAGTTTTGGAAATATTAAAAGTCTTAGCTATTTTAAATAATGAACAGTCAAGGATGTATATGGTTATGACAGCAAGAAAATTGCATGCATAATATTGATATTTAGATCTGACATGATTTATACATGAGGGTGATTGGATACTAACAACTTGTTTCATATATGAAGTACTTTTCCTGTGGGTCCTAAAAGTGCTTGTCATTCAGATATGAGTGAAGTTTTGAACTTTTGGCTCATTGTTTACACTCTACCACTGAATTTTTTTTATTAAACATAAGACCTTTTCCTTGGAGAACAGAATGTGTTTCTTATATCTCAAATGCACTAAAAGTTAAATAAGTGATTAACAAGCTGTCATTATCTTTGAGATTCTACCTGAGGACTTGTTAATTATCTTTGACAAAAGCGTTTCTTTTTCTGTAGCTGTATTTAGAGCACTTTTTTCTTTTGCAGTGGAATGTTCCTTTGCTCATGACTGCTTACTCAGTAATGTGATAAATATTTAGGTGATTAACTACAAATAGGTTGTGATTGTATATATGTACAAACTGAGCAATTGCTTGCATGCAAAACAAAAAGATAATCTGGATGTTTTGATAAAATCACATTTATAGATTTATTCTGCACTTGACTTTTTGTCAAGGTAAATTCTTAAGAATGTCTTCTTACTGAATTTTGGATGCCTTGGCACAGTGTTTCTTAACCTTTTTCATGTTGTGGTGACTCCCACCTATAAAATTATTTCATTACTAGTTCCTAACTGTAATTTTGCTATTGCTGTGTGAATATCTGATATGCAGCTTATGTGATATTTGACTCCTATGAAAAGGTCATTTGACACTCCCAGGGGTCATGACCCATAGTTTGAGAGCCAATGCTCTAGCGCAATAAGGATATAGTAACTCCTATCTGAAGTTCTAGACTTTGAGACCAGCCTGGCCAATATAGTGAGACTTCATCTCAAAAAGAAAAAAAAAAAGTCTCTAGTATAGAATAAAGAAAGATTTTAGAGGGTTTTCTAATAACAGAGTAATATTACTTTAAAATATTTAGTGACAAATAAGTAGAATCTTATTTATTATACTACTAGAATAACTTAGAGAATCAATGTAGGTTCAACTCAATATATTAAAAGGATAGCTCAACACAGTCTGCTTATTTTCTAACATGTTTCTTTCTTTTTTAAAAATTATTTACAGGAGAGGGCTGCTCACAATTTATATGGCCAACTTGGTAAGTAAATTTTTTTTTTTTTTTTGAAGAAGGAAAACTTTGAATCTGAGACTATTTCCTGTGTGTTTCAGAGGCTAGTGCTGAATGGCTGGGAAGGCTTGATATCATCTGGTTAATTTATGTTATAGTGAAGTTCACTTATTTGAAATGGGAATCAGTTCACTGCTATATGCCCTTTGGGGTTCTCTTTTCTTTGTTGGGTTACATGTTGTTGTCTGTACATCAGCTCTTTCCCTACCTACTTAATTGTGTATTTTGCTTGTGTTATTGTTTTATGGGAGAAATGATTTAAGGATTAGTTATGATAAACTTTTAATATTAAAACAGTGGCACTACTAGTCTTTAGATATAAGTGTATTAACATAATCCAAATCCCCAAGTCTACAAGGTTGAAATCAGTGTCACCTGGTGGTCTGGTAGTATAGTACACATATAATCCAGGTGCTGCTACCATGTTTCCAAGTTCACCTTTTAAAAGCATTTTTAATAGTTAATAGTTGATATTAGGTAGTTTCAGTGAGACTAGGTAATTTACCTGGAGATAAGCTCCTGAGTTGTGTAGCAAGGACTTGCATTTCAAGATGTATTTTGTGTTACCCTTTCTTGCTAATACCTGACAAAAGGCACTTCAGAAAGGAATGGTTTCTTTTGGCTCTTGGTTTGAGGGCACATAGTCCATCACACTGGGGAGGACATGGTGTTAGCAATGCCATGCAGCTGCTCTATTACACTGTATCTACAGTCAGAAATCAGAGAGAGATGAGTTTTGGTATTCAGCTTGCTTTTTCCTTTCTTCATTTTTGATTCAATCCATGACCCCAGCATATGAAGTGGATCTGCCCTCCTCAGTTAAATTTCTCTGGAAACATCTTTGTGTATCCACTCAGAGATAAATCTCTAAAATGACTCCAAATCCAGTCATGCTAACAGTAGAAGGTGTCCATCAGATGAAGAAGTTGATTTCAGTGATGAAACAGTTCAGTACCATGCTACTGTAATTTTTAGCTGATTGTGTTGGATGTTACTAGCTCTTATGTTCATGGAGTCTACTGCTTAGTGAAGAAGTCCCAGTCAAAAAATAATGAATGCAAAAAACTGAAGTGTAAACTGTATGTGCCATGGGAGCTACAGTAAGGGTAGCACCAAACTGTTGTGTGGGAGGAGGCCTCCCAAATCCTTTTTGTGTCATTCTACCCATATCTGCCCAGGGATAGGGAGACCTGAAAGGTCCATGTGATGTGAGAGATGTCATATGTCAACAAAACATAGGGTCTGCAGTTAGCAAAGTTATTTTAAAAAAAATCCACTCTTCCAATACCTCTTAATTGCAGTGAAAAAGCAATTTCAGGACACCTGGAGAGCAGAGACCAATTAAAGGATTAGTTTTTGTCTTTACTCTTTTTGAACAAAGAATTCTCCTTCTCTGTAAGATCTGTCCAATCAGGGGCTTTTCCTGTTTTATGTCTTCTTGTACTATAGCCACCTAGGCAGAGTCTGACTTGAATAGAATTTGATCAGTATATGCGTAATCAACAATAACCTTGCTAGATAGAGAATTCTAAGCTGGCAATGACCTAAAAGTAATCATCCCGTTTTTGTTCTGTGCAGACACCTTTTGGTGTCTGTTGTCAGTCTGGCTTTACTTTTTATGGAAATCTTTCCCCCTCATATATATATATATATATTTTTTTTTTTGTTTAAAACCGCTTTTCCTTGGTCTCTGTATTCAAGGCATATTTTCTTCTCCATGTTTTGTTTACTCTTCAGAGTTTTTCTACTTTTTAATCTTAGCTGAGTCCTGATTGTGTTTCATATCTTTGTTTCAGTTTAACTGATCTATCTGTGTGTGCATATTGGGAACTGGAATCCAGGATGTTGTTTTCAATATGCTGCTTAATTCATTTTAGCATTCACTTTGAGTGCTTTTTTTTTTTATAATTTTAAAATGATACATATCAGACATAATAATATCTGGAAAAACTTGTTCTAGTAAAATGTCACCCTAGCATATCAGTCAGTATATTTCTTCTTTCTCTCCCTATCTCCAAAAGGGGCTTACTGTATGAATCCTGAATCCTTCTGCCTTAGGCATCCAAATACTGGGCTTCTTGGCATACACCATACCTAGCCATATTATTTTTTCCATTGTTCCTTGTTTATACATTTTTTTCAGTTCTTCATATGATGGTTTTATAATGTGAAATGTTTTTCATTACTAGAAAAAATAACACTCAGTCTTTTCTTTTGCATTATTGGTCAAATACATCTTTAAAATTACAGGTTGTTGGAATAGTTAAAATTGTAACTGAATGTGCAGATCTACTCTGTTTCAAATCATAGTTTCAAAAGACTGAAGTTCTTTTTTTTTTTTCTTTTCCAAACTTTTATTTGTGCACATTCAATTTAAAAAGATAACTTTTTACAGATTCTTTGGTGCCCATATACAGCATACAAAAATGTAAAAGACTATTCACAAATAAAACACATTAGCTCAAACTGGAAAAATAATGACAACAATAAAACAATTTCTTAAGGTAGTGCACACTGTGACAGCTCTGCCTGTGGGGACATGAGAATTACTGCGAAAATAAATAGAATGTCCTTTTGTAAAAGCAGCAATGTCACGTCTTGTAAATTTCCTTTTTATATTACAGCAAAGTTTGAAGTGAAATCCAAAGGGACTGGAGCTCACACTGTAGCTGTGAGCAGGAGTCTATTCCTCAGTCACTGTTGGTCCAGTTTTCCTTGTGTTTTGAGTCCAATGTGCAGCAGGTTTCAAGGTGCTCAGTTAGAGACTAACCAACCAAATGAGTTATAAAATTTCCTTCCTGCTTTCAAACACAAATGGGTACACCTGTTCCACAGCAGTGGCCACAGCCTTTACATTGGGCCCTGTCACTGTGATACTTCCTGTTGAAAATATCTGTAATGTAGCTCTTAGAGACTTTATCCGATAGCACACGGCAGGATGAAGTTCAGGTTCATAGCTGGCATGAGGTCTATTGTTCTTGGTGAATTCTGGCAAACGGATTTCAAAGGGCATGTTACAAACTGCCAAAACATTCACAACCTTAAAATCTGTAAAAATTACCTGGAAACCTAGTTTCTGCAGACTACGGGCTAAACGTCGGGCACCAAATTTAGCTTCTTCTTCACTTGTTGCTCCAGTGCAAATAATTTTTCCTGAGGACCAAATTGTAGCTGTAATTCTAGGTTTTCTAAGCTTCATTAATACTTTTCCAACATCACGCTTATAAATTACATTGGCTCCCTCCAAAGCAATCTTCCTTAAGTTCAAATGGCATCTTGTTCTAAAAACACAGACTACATTTGTAATTAAAATGTCCAATGCAACATCACTGTCTGCATCCATTGGGGTAGTTTCCCACCACGAAGATCACATCTGTGGGAAGACGGGGCGGTCGCAGAGGACGCGGTGGCAGCGCTGCTGCCGGTTGCGTAGGACGCGGAGGAAAAGCTGGAGGACAAGGATGAAGATGAGGCGGGCCGCTCCCCAGTCTCCATGGAACTCCCGCCCCGGCCCGTTGCTAGGAGCCCCCGAGGCTCGGGCTCCGTCTTTCGTGCTTTGTTGTTCCGGGTACCAAAAGACTGAAGTTCTAAAACATACCTGGTTATACACTTCCCACCAGGAGGAAACACTTCGTAACATTTTGATGTTGATGCATTTACAGTAATTGTTGTATTTACCCCATTTTCTCTACAAGAAAGAACTTGTATCTAAGCTAGGTCTAGATCAACACTTGGTCCTCTCCTTACCACTTTAAATGTCTGCTGTTGGGAAGAACTTGTGTGAACCTTTTCAGGATTTGTTATCCTAGGACATCTCTATGTGTCAGTATGGCTTCTGAGCCTTTTCTCACGTTTTATGACAGGGTAAGTTGGGATGACAAATAGTAGAGTATTGATGAAAAACATACTTTCATGGGCCAATCAGTTGTTTGTAACTGGAAGCAACTGGAAAATGAATGAATGAATGAATTTTGAGAAATTCAAACTGAACTCTTGGTCCCTAAATTTCTGTTCTGTTCACAAAATGTGGAATGTGACATATAAATCAGAATGTAATGTGGTAGTGATTTAATATCTTGTGATTAAAATCCATAGTTTTGCAGATTTTATGAAAAGATGTGATTTTGAACAGATTACATTTTTCTGATAACTTAGAAGGATCCTATGCTTCTTTGCCTCTCCTGTTTACCTTCCTCCAAACTGCCCCTTCTGGTGAAGCATGATGAACACACATCTTCTGTGGGCCCTCAGTATCAGCTCTTCTTGATCTCCAGTATCTGCATGCTTGTCAACATTTGATTCTTTTCCCCTCCCTGTTTTATTGGCTTCTTTTCTGGGCATTTAAGTTTCATGTAAGGTTTTGGGTACTGCTGGACTGTGACTGGAGAAGTGCCCAGTGAGCATTTTGTGCTTTATGTTGCTGAATGGATTTGTTAGACAAAATATTCATCAAAAGGAATAATTTTCAGGAGGGATTTATTTCAAGTCTTGATATATTTGACCTATGTTAGTATATTTTGATTAAAAATTTATACATACTGAAAGTTGGTGGTTGTAGGACTTAGTTGAAACTGAGTATTAACACTTCTGCTTTGAGTTTGGAGAAGGAGGAAGCCTTAAAGACAGCTGTACCACAGAGACATGTTATTGTTGGCCTCAGGATTGCACTTTCACTTTACCAAGTTGTGGCTAAAGGTTAGGGTAAGTGGGGAAGGATAAGAAATACATTGAGCATTTACCATATCTTGGATGCTTTAAGTTGGGGTTTCCAAACTACATCAGTTATTTTAGCTAGTCCACAAACCACAAAAGATAATGCACTCATGGAATGACTTGACCATGTCATGAGAGAGTGTCATGAGAGAGAATTAGATGTAAATATTGACAGTTGTGTTTGGGGTGGTATTGCAGGCAGAAGATAAAGAAATGTGAATTCTCCCTGGGGATATCTCTGCCGATGTTTCCTTTTAGCATAGGGTTGTCTCTCCTGATGTTTGCATTGCAGCTAATCTTAGTGCTGATGATATTTGCCCTGGTAAGTTTTAGTTATTAAAATACTGGTGTGTGTAGCCTTAATAACATGTAGAACTAATGTTTGTTTAATTCTAATCTGTTTAACATATTTTAGAATGGAAATGTATACTTTGAAAAGTACTGTTTTCTAGATTTCTAAATTGACAGTGAATTATTTGTCAAAGGTTAGATTAATAAAAGACATATTAAAAATTATAAAATAAATAATCAAATATTTTCCCTGGCTTATTCCCAAAAGAGTAGTAGTAAAATGATGGAAATTTTTCTGATGCCAAAAGCAGCTATCCACCTGAGTGCCAGCTGCTAAGATTTTGCTTTGCCACACTGTGATTTAGAAGACATAAGCTATGCCTACATTCATATGAGTTTTATTACATTGGGTGTGCCGATGCCTAAGGTTTCTAGTCTTTCAAGATCACCATATGCATCAGGTGTTGTAAGATATGTCAAGTGTTATTCTTTTATTTTTAGCTTGCTTCTAAGAAAAAGTATTTCAGACATGAATGTGTAAGGTTTCCAAAAGGACCTGTAGAGAAGAATATTTAAAGTCTGATATTCTTTTTGTTAGAATTAATCTGAAATTAGAGGGTGAGACTTGACATCTCTTACAATACCTGGTTAGCATATGATGATTCTGAGTGACTTCCACAAGGAAGCTTTGCTTTATAATTTAATTTATGCCACCAATCATTTAATAGAGTGTGCATTTAAAAATGTGTTAATGAGATAAAGAAGTAAACCATGTTGGAATAAATTTTGTTGACTGACAAACACATTTTCTTATTGGAGTGAACAACAGAATACCCTTGTGTGTTTCCTGAGACCCCACCCCTCTTTTTCTTTTGATTGTCAAATTATTAAGCTAGTTTTTGTGTGGAAAATTGCTATGCAAGATTTTTATCTCACAGGGTAGATTTGTAGACTCATAGAAAGACCTGTGGATTCACTTTATTTCTTCCTGAGAGAGCATGGGCAGTATTCAGTTCTTCTTCATTGGTTATTCATGGCCTTCTAGAAATATTGCTGCTGTGGCATGGGGGAAGTCCTTCAAGGAGAACAGAGTTCCCTGGGGTGGTGCCACATGTTGGAGGTCACAGGAGATGTTGCAGCTCACATGACAGCAACCAGAAAAGAGTGACGCAATTGAGAGCATGGCTGGGAGTGAGATGGATTCACATTTCAGTTCTGTCTCAGCATTTCTGAACTGGGATAGCAAATCAGTCCCCAACTAAGAAAAGAAGGGAAAGCACATTTGCTTATCCATGGAACAATAATTTTAACTGCTTTTAAAGGAATGTATATGTAACTAATACATACACACACAAACACACGTACGTCTTTAAATTCCAAAATATGCCAAAGAAGAAATAATATATAGGTAGCTAACATTGCAAAATTGTATTTACAATGTGTAGTCAATATTTCAAAACAGTTGCTGATTTAAACATGCTGACGATACATACTTTTCTGAACTTAGATTTCACTTTTATAGCACTGTATTCTGTAACTAAATCTGATAGTAAAATAAGACAATGAAAAATTTAAATGTAATTTACTCAGCACAAGTTTGGCAGGTGTGTAGAACAGCACTAGGAAGTGATTCTCTGTAGTAAGGACTAATACTATACTTAATTCATTATTTCCCTGAATTCCCTAAACAGTCCACAAAATACTCATGAAGGGTGTACATTTTTCCTTGTTTTTTTAAGAGTAAAAATTTCAGCTTTAAGAAACTTAAAATGTGTCCCCCCCCCAATTTTGGGATTTTCTCTTCTACCTTTGTCATTTCCTGTTAATAATGGATTGGAATGGTTTGTGTTCATTGAATGATAGCTCATGGCAATATAGCCAATGTTTAATACTCGCATTAAAACATGCTCTTCTCATATTTTTTTTATTTTATTTAACATGTCTACCACCTTGTTAAATAGACTGAACAGCTTTTCTTACCACATACATAGATGAACAGATGAAGAAAACTACACAAAGTGGGATATGTGACTCCCAAGGCTCTGCTGGTCATGCATAAGGCTCTGAAACTCATTGATGCTAGGTTAGTGGGTACTACAGTTTACTCTTCAAAAGGTACAGAGGCAGCCTCTAAGAGAGAGCAGGAGGAAAGAGAGGGAGGCGAAAAGAGCCTGCCTTTTATAAGGGTTATAATGCATGAGCATAGGGAGAACACTTTAGTCTTTGCTACTGCTGCTGTGTCTTGGGAGGTCCCTGAGAGCAGGCCAGTGTAAATGCTTAAATACTAACATTCCTGCATTTTGTTTATTTTAAAAAGAGGAGGAACTAGGAAGGGGCAGCTGGTGAGGTGGGAATGGGGGCTCTGTGCTCTGCAGACTGCTTCCTTCTTTTTGGTGGCATTGGCATCTTTGGGGATCCAAGGAAGCTGGGATGCTGGCTAAATCTTGGGATGGCTGTCTGTTTCACTGCTGTGCAGGCTCTGTGGTATTGTATAGCACTCAGAAAGTGCAGGTCTAGTTGAAGCAGTCTGTGAGGTTGGACCATTTGGACGCTTTCTGGGATGCAGTGTTTTGAGAGGACCTGGCAGGATGCTGGCAGAGCAGAAGATAAAGTTAAGAAGTTCAGGGGTTACTTTTTTTCTTAGGTCCTGATAATTGAGGGAGGGGAGTCCCAAGACCAGGAGAAGGTGAGGGAGATCCTACCCTGAGGAACAGGCAGTAGGCGGGGAAACTTAGGCTATTGACTTATCTGGAGTGCATCTGACCTGTTTGAGGTAGGTTCAAGGCCACTCTTATAAAAGAGATAAGTTTTAGACACGTTAGCATTCCCACTGTTTTTAAATCCATACTGAAACCACATTGTAGGAAAGGCAGTATACTCATGCCTTCGACTCATGGGGGACCCAAAAATGATTCTGGTTAAAAGCAGTAACATTCCTCTGTCCAAAAAACAGATGTATATAGACTCGACAGCTGCTTTTAGCACAATGAGAAGCACTTTTAAGTCTATACTTAAAAACAAATAAACAACAACAACCAACAACCGAAGGGAATTTAAAATTCTGAGCTTGTGTCTATGATAAAAGTAGTGGTGTACTGCCTGCCAGAGCTAGATCGGTAGCTTATCAGAATTCCATTGATTAATGTTAAGACTATGAGCTTTTGGAGTCTTAACAGTAGCATAGTGATAGAAATGTGAAACATGTTCCATTTTTCTATACATCTCAATTCACCTTTTGTCACTGCTTAAACTTTTTCATCCTTAGCCCCTTGCATTTACACCCCCTGACAACTTGCATTTGTCCACTTTAAAACACCTTATTGGACCCTAAGACATTTTCTTAG